ATTTGTCAGTGATAACTTTCGATGAAGATGATTACACTGGTCATGATAAGTAACAGAACTATGTCAAGGTCTATTTCTACGGGGTCTGGGTGACCTGGTTGTGTAAGGCACCATCATTCCATGTACAGAGTTATCTCCCTTAGGCATATGTCAGGATCCTAAGAACATGGATTCACCCGGATTAATATGATCCTTGGTTTGTCAGCAGCATAGTTATGAATCTAAGTCCTGCATTTCTTTCGCTTTCCTTCCTCAAGACAGAACTGAAATACTGAAATACTGGTCAGCATGACATACAACACAATGAAGTCACTTTTTCCGGGGCAAGTCCGACCCACAAAGATTTAAGCTTGTTAAATGGCAGTTGTAGTCAAACTAATTTATTGGGTTATATTTATGTTGTGGCCTTATCTATGAGATCTCAGTTCTATCTTTAGGGCACCTGACTGAAAGTCAATGAGCTAATGTCATGGCCTGTTGTCCGTCATGCATGGTCACTTGTAGACATCTTCTCAGACACCACAAGATTAATGAAGCTGAAGCTATACATGCTTCTTCCCACAAATAATTTCACAAATGTTATATTTGGGTTAACACTTTCTTAGTTAAGTACAGATTCGAAATAGCCTTGGTGGCTGAGGGGGTTGTGCTGGCAGTGTCGGTTCGAATCAACCCCCCAAAAGTTCTACAATCTGTCCTTTTCTAAGAAAGTGTTATCCGAAATATAACATTTGTAACATTAGACCACTTTCTAAATACATTGTGTGTTCACACAAATGATTTCTTCAAGATTTCAGAGTCTGATTTTCAATATGGCCGCCACAACAGCCATATTAAAAGACTGGCAATTACCCAGTAATTTCTTTTCATTTTGAATTTTAAAACAAGAACTGGTCGGCTTGGAGTCATTATACTGTGTCTGAGTGGGGTATTCATGTTAAACTGCGGCATGGTATCTCTGTGGGCTAGCACTATAAAAACGACATTAGTTCGGACCAGTACAAGCAGCCACACACACACATGTGCATGCACATTGCTATATAAGTGCAACAGTCTTGGAGTGAGTGAGTGAGTGAATATGGTTTTACGCCGCTTTTAGCAATATTCCAGCAATATCACTGCGGGGGACACCAGAAATGGGCTTCACACATGTCGGGAATTGAACCCAGGTCTTCGGCGTGACAAGCGAACGCTTTAACCACTAGGCTACCCGACCGCCCCTCAATAGTCTTGGACATGCTAGTAAACCCATCCACCTCACCTCAAATCATTACATATTAGAAGTAGTTGCAGGGTCTCAGTATTTATGCATAACACATTTGAATAGCAACTCTTATTGTCAGTCTTTGAGATGTAAAAGTGTTGACTCTATCCAGGTGATCTACAGCGTGGTGGCTTTAAAACAATTGTAGCTGTGCGTTATTGCTGTGAATGAAATGATTGCATACCTCTCCTTCATGATTGCTGCGTCTGTTTGTCTAGACAGCACTGTGTGTTGATGGACTTACAAAACACATGCAATGTTCGAAATGCCACAACTTAATTATTGTTGTACATAATTGTCACTCCCTGTTTGTGGTGGGGTTACGACAAGTTCACAATGCCATGGCGACAGTATGAGGAAAACCTCCTAGGCATAAACATGGAACATGCTTTCCAAGGTAGGAAGCAGGCACAATATGGGATCTTTACCGAACTGTTTTATTGTGCATGTCATTTGCTTAATTGTGTATAATTTTATGCCTTTTTAGGAATCTATTATTTGTTCTCGTTGCCATGTGACTGAAATATTGCTCACTCACTCACTCACTCACTCACCCACTCACTCACTCACTCACTCACTCACTCACTCACTCACTCACTCACTCACTCACTCACATGAAATATGGGTAAAACTTTATTCAGTCCAGTTTTGGACAATGAATAATAAATGTCTTCATCAGCTTTAATTAATAGAGATTGATAACTTTTTGAAAAAGCAAAAAAATATTTCTCCAGCTTCTGACTGGGGATGCAGCACTTAATGGGACAAACAAATAATTACTTTATTTTGGCCTTACGTGATGAGTCCTGTGTATTCAGGGAGTATTTAATGAAGTTTGAATGTTTATTTTTTTATTATTTGTATTGATTTAATTTACAGAATGACCTTTCACGAACTTTGACCGATAACTGAAACGACTAACAAGAAGTCGACTAACAAAGCTGCTTTCTCGAACTTTACGGCACTCGTTTCAACCTGGCGACTTCCATTTCAGACTTCGCTTGAAAAATATGTTGACACAGTTCTCGAATAAAGTTTTGAAAACTGAAAAAACAAACATTCTGGAATGTCTAATATATTGTTGCGATTGTATGGCAGTGCTTCCCCCGTACTGTGCAACGCCTCCTCCATTCTAATGTTTATCCCACGGAAGCAAGAGATGGACAATAATTTTGGAGGAATCAGTTGTACGGGCCGTCACTGTCGTTTGGAATACCCTGTGTTGATGTTTTCGAGGTTGCATGATTACAAAAACACATTCTGACTGTCCCTTTCATGATCTGGTAAGCGAGTCTTTGATTGGTCTGATTAAAGGTCGTTCTGACGTGACCCGTAATGGGATGTCCTCAGATCTTTGTTTAGCGATAACGAGAACTAAGATCTGATTTTAATGAAATGAGATTGGTGCATTGACAAGCTGACATGTTTTACACTGGATTCCGTAATAGGTCCATGAAAGTTATTGTGTGGGTTATCGTGATGCTAATGGTTGTTGTTCAGTGACATATTGATAATGCTGACATTTGCAATGTGTTGATATAATGACACAAGTTCAACCATACTGTATTAATATAATTGAGTAATTGCCGTTACCGTAGCAATCAGTGTAATCAGTAATCAAGTAATCAATGGTGTGTGGATGTTCAGTTGTAATGGGACACTGGCTTCTTCATTATCTATTTAAGACCCTCTTAGTGTCTCGTGATACTTACGTAATCTCCAGAGCGTCGGGTAGCCTGGTGGGTAAAGCGTTCAAGACCCGGGTTCGATTCCTGACATGGATACAGTGTGTGAAGCCCATTTCTTGTGTCCCCCACTGTGATATTGCTGGAATATTGCTAAAAGCGGTGTAAAACCATACTCACTCACTCAGGGGGGGGGGGGGGGGTAGGTTAGAATACAATGTAGACACTAAAGTGTATCATTTGTATAATTACAATGTTAGAAATTGGCACTATAGTCCTTTTTCTCTTGCCGAACTGCCCTATAGTTAAGGTATGATAAGGACTAGCAGAAGTTGGCCCTTTTTAAGGGTTTTTCTGTCAGTGTCCGAAACAACTGCATGCTCACCTGCCCGTGGCTGGTAACTTTTCTGTCGGGCTGCATATAATTTTCCTCCACCTGCCCGACTGTTTGGCAGATGAATTTAAGCCAACTTACACTTTCAATGTTATTATAACTCCCGGTAGATTCGCAAGTAATTGTTAGCATTAGTTCCACTGAATCAAGACGCGATTTGTCTCTTATGTTTCGTGATTTTTCAATATTTACAATGTATGAATGCGGGCAGGTAACTTTGAAGACGGGCTGGCAACTCCTGCCCGACCGTCTTGGTGGGTTATAGATTATTTTAAACACTGTTTGGTATGTGTTATCAATAGAAGTTTTAGTGGACAAGTTTCTAACGCTGAATTAGTAGTTCATTGTTGTTTGTTCATGCTCGTATATAGTGGTGCAGAGTTTTCTAAAGGAGCAGACAGCTGCCGGCAGATCTGGAGGGGGGCGCACCTTTTGTTTTAAGACACCTCACACGTTAACTGCCCCTCGACCACATCTTCTTTGTTTATAGGTAATATGTCCACCCTCCTCCACTAATCCCTCCCTTTTTGAAAAATCCTGATCCGCCTCGCAGTGTGTACAGCCCAAACATTTTACTATGGGCTATCATCATCAGTTTGATAACTTAAGTCTTCTTGTCTGCATGGTCTGCATCTGGTAACATGCAGAAAGGACTTGTGACATTTCCTTGAGGATATCTTTCATTTTCACCGACAGGTGATATACATAATTTCTAACCCTTATAAGCTGGACCAATAGAGACTGTGACCTCCATCGAGTTAGTGAGTGAGTGAGAGAGTGAGTGAGTGAGTAAGGTTTTACGCCACTTTTAATAATATACAAGCAATATCATGTCAGGGTACACCAGAAATGGGATTCACACATTTTACCCATGGGGAATGGAACCTGGGTCTTCAGCATGACGGGCAAACGCTTAAACCACTAGGCTACCCATCCACCCCATACCTCCATCTAGAGTACCAGTACCAGCACTGACATCATGATAGTGTCTTAGAAGTGTTTTTTGCTGGAATAGTCAGATGGATATTCAGCAATGATCATTAATGATACAAATAACATTGAGTTAGGATATTGTGTGACCTCCTAAACCAACCCAATTGGATTTGCCCTCAAAAGCGTTACGAACTGACCTACGAAAGTGAGTTGGAATGCTTTTTGTGGGCTGGAAAGGTCCTATTAATATTTATTAATACATGTACTTGTTGCATGAATGTTTGCAACCTGACTCAACATGCTATTACATCAATGTGCAGAATGTCATCCAAAGTACATTGTGTACATGCCATTTTCATCAGCTGTCACAGGCCCACGGCAGTCGGTCTCTGTTAAGTATACAAATTTCATTAACTTATTTGGATTCGTTTTCTCCTTTCATGTATATCTAGATATCATTCATATGCACCATACCTTCCTCAACCCAAGTTATTCATTGATCTCTCTATACTTCATCTGTTCATGTGTTGAATCTGGAAGGTATTTTCAATAGGTATAATCGTGTGTGTCTGTGGTGATCAGTGGGTTTTTTCAATGACTTGAGTTGTTTTTAAAGTCAGGTTTGAACATATGTACATTATTTTAATCATGTAATGTTTTGGGTAGGAAATGTTTTTCAATTCACTGATAAAAACTGAAATAACTTCTTGTTTTGGTTTTACAGTTTGAAAATCCAAGATGGCTGAAAGTGAGCAGACGCAAAAGAGGTCCCTGGAGAGGTCTGTCAGCACCCCATTCAGGATGTACAAGAGAGAGCCCAATAGGAGGTGGGTCTTGTTATTTTGTGGCTGTTCATTATTCCATGTTTTAGAGAAACTAATAGGTGGGTCTAACTATTTTGTGAATGTTCTTTAGGGAAAGTTTTATTATTTATTTGTTTGTTTGTTTGTGCTCCAGATATTGTTTTTTTTATGTGAGTGAGTGAGTGAGGTATTTATTTAGTATTTACTCACATGAGATCATTCTTATTTGGTATTTCAATTTTGTTTGGATACTCAATATATTTTTACTTGCTTGGATCCTGTTTATTGGTAATTTGATATTAAGGAGTAGAATTACAAGAAATAAACCTGCAGTTCACTGGGGTCAAATCCAAGTTGCATCTGTTGTTGATCTTTGGTCAGTCAGCACCATGCTTGTGATTGTTGGTTTCACAAAAGTTGTAAACATCTGTAGCATGCTTTGAGCTGGAATAACATTTTAGTCTCTGAAAATATATGATTCTGATCAAAACAAGTTACTACATTGAAATTAAGAAGGAGCCCCAGTGAGATGGGAAAGAAGGTGTGGAAAATCTAGACTTGCTTCGTTTAGAGCTAAAGCATTACAGTAAGGGCTGGGTGGAAGGGAAAATAATATGGACAGACTTCCTCTGGTCTTTCCTCCCACATTACACAGTGACTAAGACTAGCCAATTTACAGTCCAAACAAATGGATTGAAGTGATACAAATACTTGTTATTACCACTTTGCTTGTCTGCTAGCTCAAATTCTGTGATAAATTTCCATATATAAATATATATATAAAGTTTGTCTATTAATAATCAAGTCTGGACAACACTCACTCACTCACTCACTCACTCACTCACTCACTCACTCACTCACTCACTCACTCACTCACTCACCCAAACCCACACCCACACCCACTCACTCACTCACTCACTCACTCACTCCATTTCCTCTTTTTCCCCAGAGTATTTGTGAACAGAGGGTTGATGCTGGAGAAGGTGAAGTTCTTTGGGTTTGACATGGACTACACACTTGCAGGTAAGATCACTTAGTTATTTAGGGCAGTTTGAGGATCTGTGGCAAGCAATCTCATTAAAATCAGATCTTAATTTTCGCTACCGCTAAACAAAGATCTGAGGACATCCCATTACTGGTCACGTCAGAAAAGATTTTTAGTCATGAACTTGAACTTGAAACTCAAATTTCAACACATTTTGAGATATCTGACCAACAAAAATGCGGTGTCATTAAACAAGTATTAAGTAATATATATTTCAGCAAGTGTATCATTTTGTTCTGATACTTATCGTGTATGTATCGTTTCGCACCTATCGTTGGGTGTTAGAGTTAACTCAGGGTTGTCACATTCTCACCCCAACTGATATGATCCAAAAACTATCCATTTGTACTTAGTAGTATTCAACACTTCCAGTATTTTGACAAGGTTGAGCTTTCGTCTACAGGGTGAATGAGTCAGGAATGTTGACATCTGCTCAAAGCAGTACAAGGGACAGCGATTGAGTTAGTTTTGACAGTGAATGGGTTTCCTCATGATGATATGTTTTTCAAATCATTAGATTTTAATGTTTCCTTTTTAGTTCTCCGTATTTTTGTAGAAAATATTTAACGTCAACATCATTAACTTTTGTTAAGTGGCTCTCTGTATTGACATTTCAAACTATTGACTACATATCCAGGTGAGCTACAGTGTGTGGCAATTTTTCATGAAGGCATTTTTATGCTAAAAAATAAGCATATCTATCTGTCCATCGTTAATCATTATATCAGGTTAAAAATGAACAATATAGTCCCTACCTAACGCCACATTCCTGGCTTGTGCAAAACAGAGATACTTTAGATCATAGATTTACTGAAAACATGACAAGATTCAAGAGCCCTCGCTCAGTCAGTAAAGATTCTTCAAACTGCGATCAATGAGGACACTATTTCAGCACTAGCCTCGTGGGGATTCCGGGTTAGAATGGGTCTCCCTGGTCGTAAGAGGCGACTTAATGGATTGGGTGATCAGACTCGGAGACATTGTTGATTGTATGTTGACATTCCCTGATGGCTTTGATTGTTGCTCATAATATCGATCACTGTATTGTCTGGTCCAGACTCGTTTAATAACAGGCTGTCATCATATAGTTTGCCGCAAATAGCTGCAAAATTGCTGATGCATCTATAAACAATATTAACTCACTCATCATAGCTGGAATATTGTTGAGTGTGGGATTAAGCAACAATAAAAACAACAACATATTTCAACACTGTAGCTATATGACCGATACGATTCCCATGAAATGTGCAGAACGGGACAAGTGACGGATGAAAACATTGAGGAGGCCCTCTGCCTTGTTATTTCACATGTCACAATCTAAGCCTATCCCAGAGCCCCTTAAGTCCCTGGATCTGCGTGTTTATCTATCTCACCTGGCCCTTTTGTTAAGGCTTTTTCAGGTACTATCTCACTCCCGGGCTGACGAGGGTGTAGGCTTGCACAAGTCTCTTCTCCCCGATTATGTTTCTAGGTTTGTCAGCACCATACCCGTGCTTGTGGGTTTCACCAAAGTGGTAAACGTCTGAGACCTGCATCACTTCGGGCTTTCCTCCCACATTAAGCTGACACGACGTGATATGACTGGAATACTGTTAAAAGCGGCGTTAAACCAAACTCACTCACTCACTCACTCACTCACAAGTCTCTTCTCCCCGATTATGTTTCTAGGTTTGTCAGCACCATACCCGTGCTTGTGGGTTTCACCGAAGTGGTAAATGTCTGAGACCTGCATCACTTCGGGCTTTCCTCCCACATTAAGCTGACACGACGTGATATGACTGGAATACTGTTCAAAGCGGCGTTAAACCCAACTCACTCACTCACTCACTCACAAGTCTACACAAGTTTAAATCATAATTTCTAGATTATATTCTTATTGAACAAGTTGACCCCATAAAAGACTTGCATCTGAGTCTGCTTTATCTAGACTTGCCTATTATAAGGTTAGAATTACTACTCATCCTTAGACTTATCTTTCAGTACAGCCTTGCAGCAAGGCTAACTGAAGTGTAGCAACCAAAATATTTCAGCCAGCATTAAACTTGATATAGTGTCATGATTCATGTTATCTGGTATGTACTTTGATATGAAGAGGGTTTGGTAATGAAGTATTTGTTTTAATAGAATTTTTGTGTTTGTTGATGTAACTGCTTCCCTAAATTCAAGAAAAACTCTAATCCTGATCTAATAGAATTGAATCAAATTCCATAGGTGTGGAATTTCATGTAGTTTTTAATGAAATATTTGGGTGGTTTCCAACTGTTTTACGCTGTCTGAGCAATATTCTAGCAAAATGATGGCAGGGGTACCAGGATTGGGTTCACACATGCGGGTAATCGAACCAGGGTCTTCAGTGTGATGAGCGAACGCTTTAACCACTAGGCTACCCCACTGTCCAGTCTCTTTAAGAGATCAGTATTATTAGTGTCATTAGTTGACCAGGAACTAGTATTACTGTTACATGTTCTCATATATTGGATCAATAATAGACGAAATATAAACATTCCCTTGCATATGGGAACATTTCCTGTTCATAGTGTGATGATGGAGATGGCAGAACAGGGAAAATGTTGTGATGAATTTTTATGGTATAATGAATGTCAAAACAAAACTGCAAAGATAAATCTGTCTCTTCCATATTTTGTTAACTTTTTAAAGTAATTTTATTTACTTTTTACTGCAATTTTTGTGTATAGTTGCCATTTTTGTATGTCTGTTATCTTGATAGCCTATAAGTTTATAAATTGTGGTTTCGCCAACATTGGAGTATGTCTTCATGCTCAGCTGAACATGAACAGATCACCAAAAAACCCCTCTCTCTATAACAAATTAGCCCTCTCAATGTGCATCTATATTGGCCGCCCCTTGAGGGGAGCCCGGGTGCAGCAATTGTTTGTGGAAATACAGGTTGTTTTGCTTGTACGCCAGCTTTCCTCTCATCTACCCTGAATACACGATCAAGTTTTATCACAAGAGCTCCAGATTTTGGGTCACGACCCCACCCTGGGTATTAAAGCCCTCGAGTCCCGTCGCATCCTGGAGTCCTACACCTGCTGACTCCCTTATTGCAATGACAAACTTTTTCTTCTTGACCAATCAGATTGCAGCACATATTGTATGATGGTTTTTCATTGGTTGAAAGTTTGGTGACATGATGTCATCCTAACAGTGGTTGGACAAGCACTATCAGGTGTTGTTTGATTTCTGGATTTAATGATATGAGGTTTAATGTCAGAATGTTTACACAGTGGGAAAAGCGTGTCTCAGACACAAATAACTTCAATAGATATGTACATGTTGTTAGGAAATTATTTTTTTAGGTGTTTTGAAGCGTCAGTTTTCCAGCTTTGGTACAATTATTTTGATCATATCATGGGAAAAGAATTTGTGTTCAGTATAAAGGTTTTAAACCTTTCAAAATACACAATGCGAATACAGAAACATTCTCTCTGGTACATTTATATTTAGGAGATGCAAAACAGTGTCTGTCTTTCTGTTCTCCCTTACATATAGTTGAAACCTCCTTAAACTCAAGTTTGTATGTTTATTTTTATAAATATTATTTTACACATGTTGTGGTAAATAGTCTTCTTCCTCATTCATCAACATAGGACACATAAACATGATGACTCACGGCAACAAGAAGATCTGCTAAAGAAATGGAGGATTGTGTTTCAGGGATGGAATTGTAGTCAGATCTTTTTAAGCCTGGCTTGTTATCAAACTTGTTCCAGGGCTATAATACTAGCTTTATCATTGTGTCCGGCAATCTTGACAAGCAAGATACAGTCTCCCTGGTTTACGTGATTCCTACTGAGATTTGTGTTTGGAGTTGTTTTCAAGCGTTAGTTCCATGTATACTACTCGAAATAAGTTAAAGAACACGCAGTTGTTTTCATATGACTATAGTTAATTTGTCATGGCTGGTGATTATTGCACACACACACACACACACACACACACACACACACACACACACACACACACACACACACACACACACACACACACACACCCATCCCCACACACAGCTTATATGTTTATTCTGTTGACTGTCATCAAGGAATTTCAAAGGCAATAAAATAATTGAACCAACAACAGTTTGATTGGAGTGGTCAATGATGCCTAGTTTGACACGAGATGGTAGAACTCTTGACCCCAAAGGTGATAACTCACCGGATGGCTATTGTGTAATTCCTATTTTTTAAATGACATCGTTATGTACTTGTTACAATTGTTGATCAATAGACTGTGTTTGTGTATATATTCAAGTTGGTATTTCCTGTGTCCAAAGTGTGCAGTGACGCCGTCTTATTGTTGATTGTCATTTTGAAGACATAAATGCGAAGTTTCATTAATGCGAACAAAGACCACTCACATTTTTTGCATTTACGCTCGCATTAATGTCAAGATTTACAGTAATACCGAACTATCCATAATGAAATATTCATTATAATTATTTTATTTATTGTTGTTATTCATACAATCTTTTCTTTGTGTCTGAGATGTTGAGAGCAATTGTTTTTTTATTCTATTACAGACATTAGTGCAATGTGTGAAGCCCATTTCTGGTGTCCCCCGCCGTGATATTGCTGGAATATTGCTAAAAGCGGCGTAAAATCAAACTCACTCACTGTAACCATTGGAAGTTCAACATTTTTGGATATAAACCAGTTGAGATTTACGTTTCTGTTAACAGGGTCTATCACATGATACTGTATGTATGAGGGGGTTGTGTCAGAGCGTTTGACAATCAGAATAATGGTTGCCAACCTTCCCATCCCGCTTAAGTTAATGCAATAATTATGCATTCTCGTCCAATCAACGGTTTCACAAGATTTGAATAAGAAGTTTATGGATTTCTTTCAGGTACTCCCATTTATTTCTAAATTTCTCATTAGTAAGTTGATAATTAGCTTGTCGTTAATTATTTTCCCAGATTGAATGGAGTGACACTCTTGTGACAAGCAAGTAGTGA